TCCAGTTTCATCCATCTCATTAGAACTGATTCAAATGAATTCTTTTTAATGGCTGAGTAATATTCCATGATGTATATGTACCACAGCTTCCTCATCCATTCATCTGCTGATGGGCATCTAGGTTGCTTCCATGTCCTGGTTATTATAAACAGTGCTGTGATGAACATTGGGGTGCATGTGTCTCTTTCAGATCTGGTTTCCTCGGTGTGTATGCCCAGAAGTGGGATTGCTGGGTCATATGGCAGTTCTATTTCCAACTTTTTAAGAAATCTCCACACTGTTTTCCATAGTGGCTGTACTAATTTGCATTCCCACCAACAGTGTAAGAGGGTTCCCTTTTCTCCACACCCTCTCCAGCATTTATTGCTTGTAGACTTTTGTATAGCAGCCATCCTGACTGGCGTGTAATGGTACCTCATTGTGGTTTTGATTTGCATTTCTCTGATAATGAGTGATGTTGAGCATCTTTTCATGTGTTTTTTTGCCATCTGGATGTCTTCCTTGGAGAAATGTCTGTTTAGTTCTTTGGCCCATTTTTTGATTGGGTCATTTATTTTTCTGGAATTGAGCTGCAGGAGTTGCTTGTATATTTTTGAGATTAATCCTTTGTCTGTTGCTTCGTTTGCTATTATTTTCTCCCAATCTGAGGGCTGTCTCTTCACCTTGCTTGTAGTTTCCTTTGTTGTGCAAAAGCTTTTAAGTTTCATTACGTCCCATTTGTTTATTTTTGGTTTTGTTTCTAAAATTCTGGGATGTGGGTCATGGAGGATCCTGCTGTGATTTATGTCGGAGAGGGTTTTGCCTATGTTCTCCTCTAGGAGTTTTATAGTTTCTGGTCTTACATTTAGATCTTTAATCCATTTTGAGTTTATTTTTATGTATGGTGTTAGAAAGTGTTCTTGTTTCATTCTTTTACAGGTGGTTGACCAGTTTTCCCAGCACCATTTGTTAAAGAGGCTGTCTTTTTTCCATTGTATATCCTTGCCTCTTTTGTCGAAGATAAGGTGACCATAGGTTCGTGGATTTATCTCTGGGCTTTCTATTCTGTTCCATTGATCTATATTTCTGTCTTTGTGCCAGTACCATACTGTCTTGATGACTGTGGCTTTGTAGCATAGTCTGAAGTCAGGCAGGTTGATTCCTCCAGTTCCATTCTTCTTTCTCAAGATTACTTTGGCTATTCGAGGTTTTTTGTGTTTCCATACAAATTGTGAAATTATTTGTTCTAGTTCTGTGAAAAATACCGTTGGTAGTTTGACAGGGATTGCATTGAATCTATAAATTGCTTTCGGTAGTATAGCCATTTTGACAATATTGATTCTTCCAATCCATGAACACGGTATATTTTTCCATCTGTTTGTGTCCTCTTTGATTTCTTTCATCAGTGTTTTATAGTTTTGTATGTATAGGTCTTTTGTTTCTTTAGGTAGATATACTCCTAAGTATTTTATTCTTTTTGTTGCAATGGTGAATGGTATCATTTCCTTAATTTCTCTTTCTGTTTTCTCATTGTTAGTGTATAGAAATGCAAGAGATTTCTGTGTGTTAATTTTATATCCTGCAACTTTACTGTATTCATTGATTAGCTCTAGTAATTTTCTGGTAGAGTAGGGTTTTCTATGTAGAGGATCATGTCATCTGCAGGTGGATTCTTAACCACTGAACCACCAGGTAAGTCCTAATGTTTACTTTTGAGGTGATCAAAATGTTTTGGAACTGATAGAGGTGATGGTTGCGTAACATTGAGAATGTACTAATTAATCACCTTATATGTACACCTTAAAATGGTTCATTTTATGTTATGTGAATTTTACCTCCATTAAAAAAAAAAAAACCCACAGGCTCTGAGTTCATCCTTGCTCACTTGACCCCAGACCAACTATCCATACGTGATCTCTGGATTTCAGTTTTCTTATCTGAAAAATGGGTACATAAGTAACAGCAACCTCCAATGGCATTCATGAGCACTAAACCTGCAATTACTAGAATATTCAATCAATTGAGCTGTTAATAAAAATCAATAATAAATTAAAAATAATAAAAATTAAAACATCCATTCATTTTTAGTTTTCTCAGGTATATTATACATTTCAAAATATGTTAGTGGTATATAGGTCAACTGTTGTTCAGTTGCTAAGCTGTGTTCACCCATTTGTGACCCCATGGGCTGCAGCATGCCTTCCCTGTCCTTCACTGTCTCCCAGAGTTTGCTCAAACTCATGTCCATTGAGTCGGTGATGCCATCCAATCATCTCATCTTCCATTGCCCCCTTCTCCTCCTGCCCTCAATCTTTCCCAGCATCAGGTTGTTTCCAGTGAGTCAGCTCTTTGCATCAGGTGGCCAAAGTACTGGAACTTCAGCTTCATCATCTGTCCTTCCAGTGAATATTCAGGGTTGATTTCCTTTACGATTGACTGGTTTGATCTCCTTGCTACCCAAGGGACTCTCAAGAGTCTTCTCCAGCACACAATTCAAAAGCATCAATTACTAGCACTCAGTCTTCTTTATGGTCCAACTTTAACATAGGTCAACACAAAGTAATTAATTACAAAATGATGTATGTCTTACTTTGACCTAATTTGTTTTTCTCTTTTCTCACATCATCACGGGCATGGCCAGGACTGTGATAGGCAGTCATTATGGCCACTATCTTCTCTTCTAATATTCCACCTCTCTAGGCAGAATGCCCATAGGGAAATCATTTATTTACTGTAAGTTTTTCAATCATTTAGTCTTTCTTACTTTGGAACCCTCACCTCATCTCAAGTGATTTTTAAAATATCTAAGAAATTTCCACTGACTAGTTAGATTTGTAGAAAGTTTTATTTTGTTAAAATATACAGTACTGCAGAGACACATTTAGAAACACGCAGTCACTAGTCTGCAAAGGTATAGAGAGCTGGCCCAAGTAATTAGGTATTTTTAAAATCCATTCAGTTAGATTTCTAGATTTCCATTTTCCTTAACACGCTTAATTTAAATGCAGAGTTATGTTTAAGGTGACTCTCGGGCATCTGAAATGGACTATTGAATGTCCTTTAAATGGAGAAACAGCAAGGGTAGGAGAGAAATCCTGTTGCAAAACTCCACAGTTAGCAAAAGCACCATAAGTGTGATGATGATTCTTGGTGTTTACTATCATTTGTTAAGATATAGTATGTAGAAATTTCCAAAAGGAAGAGTGAGAGTAGTGGTGAAAATGAGGTGGTGGTTGTTGTTCAATGGCTGGGTCATGTCTAAAGTAAGGTAGAAGCACACAAATGTGGTCCCGAGAGTTTCCTTCCTACCTCTCCTTACTAACCTGACAGTCCAGTCCAGGAATAGTGAGTTTAAGAGCCTGGTGTGCATTACCTGTGGAATCAGAACTTTCATTCTGATCATAGATATTTACAAGCATCAGGCATAGTTAAGAGCACTTAGTTGAAACTATGTACTTCTGATTGAAACTTATTTGGTCTCCATGAGCCAAGGCAGACAATAATTTTCTAAAATGATGCATTTTGTCTAAATTGCTAACAAGAAAAATCCTTTCACAGAGGATGCCCTGTTTAACTTTCTTTGTTCACCTTTAATTCCTCTCTGCTTCCACCTGAGTCAAAGTGTTTGTATTAAAACAAAACAGCCCTTGGAACTCTGAAGAAATGGACCCATCTCTTTTTAAGCTTTTTTAAGCTGCAGGGTATTTTTTACAGTATACAATACACATGCTAATGTAATAAATATTTTAATTTCTTAAGGATATTGAATTCTAGTGTCCCTTAGAGGGGACTTTTACAACTTACTGCTACAAATATTGGCACTTATTCATAGAAGAAAATGATATTAAAATAGTTCAAGGATAAAATCATATGTGGGGCAGTTGTTCTCAAACAGGCCATGGTATCATTTATATATAACCTATAAGCTTGAAGAAGTTATGAATCAATATAGTGGCAAGGAAACCTAACATAACAGTTAAGATCAATGACTTATTTTTCATTTAGGCCTAGAAACACACTTCCTTTCCTGAATGAACTAATAAGCCCATTTCAAAGAGAAAGAAATGGAAGCGAAAAACAGTTGTAAGGCGAGCCTTGCCTGAAGAAACAGGCTTTCCCTTTTCAGATACCAGAAAGGAACTTCTTTGACCAGCAATTCAGTTCAGTTCAGTCGCTCAGTCGTGTCCGACCCTCTGCGACCCCATGGACTGCAGCATGGCAGGCTTCCCTGTCCTTCATTATCTCCCGGAGTTTGCTCAAACTCATGTCCATGGAGTCGGTGATGCCGTCCAACCATCTCATCCTCTGACCGCAATTCGCACTCCGGTATCGGCTTCGACAGCACAGGGAAGCAGAGCCTAGGAGAGATGGGGTACATAGTGCTGCCTCTGGTGGCGAGAGGAGGTGCTTCTACTTCGCACAGGATCCCCTCACCCCCAGCCCACCCCACCCCCAGCCCCGAGTCTCGGTTCTGAGGGAGACTGCAGCCGTCTAGAAATTGTCGTGAGGCCAACTCCGCGGCTCCGGACGGAGCACAATGGGCGGGCGTGGGCGCTCAGCGAGTTCCTCTTCTCCAGCTCTTCCTGCCAGTGTTCGCCAGAATGTTTGGGGCTTTGGGGCTGCGAAACTCCCTAAGCGCAGGGGGAAAACGATAAACGCTTCTTCCCAGGGGCGATTTTCTTTTCTATCTCTCCGGCCCTGACCAGGGTGTTTGACCTTCGGGCGGACAGCGTTCCCCGTGCCCTGGAGCCAGCTGTGTTCCTGACCCCAGAATAAATCAGGGCTGCCCTCGGGGCCTCGCAGAGCTCCGGACACGTTTCCTGTCGCGGCCTAAGGGAAGCGGTTTGCCGCCGGGACCCTGGAGCTTGGCGGTCGAGGGGACTGGCGGGAGTCGGGTTGGGGAGCGGGAAGGCGGGGGGGAGCCGGCGGTGGGAGGCGGTGCCCGCGCTCCCGGGACAGCCCCACGCCCTCGGACCGTACAGACCCAAGCTGGGAGCAGCTGTGGGCGCTGGCCCTGCAAGATGAGGCCGGCGATCGCCCTGTGCTTCCTCTGGCAGGCGTTCTGGCCCCAGCCGGGCCGTGGCGAGCACCCCACCGCCGACCGCGCGGGCTGCTTGGCCTCGGGGGTCTGCTACAGCCTGCACCACGCTACCTTCAAGCGGCAGGAGGCCCAGGAGGCCTGCACCCTGCGCCATGGGGTGCTCAGCACAGTGCGCGGGGGCGCGGAGCTCCGCGCGGTGCTCGCGCTCCTGCGGGCGGGCCCGGGGCCCGGAGGGGGCTCCAAAGACCTTCTCTTCTGGGTGGCGCTGGAGCGCCGGCGATCCGACTGCACCCTGGAGAATGAGCCCTTGCGGGGATTCTCCTGGTTGTCCCCCGACGTCGGCGAGTCGGAAAGCGACACGCTGCAGTGGGTGGAGGAGCCCGCGCGCTCTTGCACCGCTCGGAAGTGTGCGGGACTCCAGGCCACTGGGGGAATCGAGCCTGCCGGCTGGAAGGAGATGCGATGCCACCAGCGCGCCGACGGCTATCTGTGCAAGTACCAGTTCCAGAGCTTGTGCCCCGCACCGCGCCCCGGGGCCGCTTCGAACTTGAGCTACCGCGCGCCCTTCCAGCTGCACAGCGCGACACTGGACTTCAGTCCCCCCGGGACGGAGGTGAGTGCGCTCTGCCCTGGGCAGCTCTCCGTCACGGCCACCTGCACCGCGGACGAGGTCGGCGCGCGCTGGGAAGGGATACCCTCCGGGGCCGTGCTCTGCCCCTGTCCCGGGAGGTATCTACGGGCTGGCAAATGCGCTGAGCTCCCTGACTGCCTAGACGACGTGGGAGGCTTTGCTTGCGAGTGTGCTGTGGGTTTCGTGCTGGGGAAAGACGGACGCTCCTGTGTAACCAATGGGGAAGGACAGCTGACTCCTGGAGGGACCCAGGTGCTCACCTGGCACCCGCCAGCCACTGCAGCCAGCCTCGCGCCGGAGGGAACGTGGTCACCCAGTGTCCAGGAGAGGCCTGGAGAGATACCCAATGCCCCTGGACAAGGCAGTGCAACAGCATCTTTTCCCGAGATCCCTCGGTGGGGAGCACAGAGCACGCTATCTACCCTTCAAATGTCCCCTCAAACAGAGGTAAAGGCGGACGTGAACTCTTCAGGAACAGCCTTTCCCAAGGTTAATGCTACGTCTCCCTCGGACAACCCCCAGGCTTTCGATTCTTCCACCGTGGTCTTCGTACTTGTAAGCATGGCTGTAGTAGTGTTGGTGATACTGACCGTGACAGTGCTGGGGCTTTTCAAACTCTGCTTCCACAAGAGCCCTTCCCCTCAGCAAAGAAAGGAGCCTTTGGCCTCGCCGGGCACGGAGGGTGATGCTGAGGCGGCTCCTCTGAGCTCCGGCTCTGCACGTTGCACGGACAACGGGATGAAAGCCGGGGACTGTGGTCTGCGTGCCTCGGTGGCGGGGTCCTCTCTTGGCTCTAGTGACACATAGGGAAACGGGGGACAGTGAGCGCGCCTTGTGAATAGTTTCTCACGTTTAGTGAAAAGGGAAAAGAGGAACTTAACTTGTGCGGATGACAATTCCTACAGAAATTCTTTATCCCCTAAATTTCCTCTATTCCACCGAGGAGCCGGATCTGAACTGAACACTGCTTCCATGAAGATGGAGGAAGTGGAAGGGCCTCAAGGTAATAGAGGGGTGCCAGGATCCTACTGGGAGAGCTATTTTCTTGTGTTTATTCTGGGGAATTTGGAGAGGTGGTTGAACTTTTTATGACACGGGAAGCAAATAAAGTTTTTTGTTTTTTTGTTTTTACCAAAATGGAAATCTTCTGTTTACCTTGTACAGGCTGGGAGTATATTGGTTTGAAATTCCCAGGCAAAAAATAAAGTATTGTTGATAACCCAGACTCAAATATCATTGGTTTCCCAGAGGAGAAATTATTCAGGAAGATCAGCAGAGAGGGGCATGCTGGGAATAGCAACAAGAGTGCCTCCTGCTTTTACAGGAAGGAGAAAGTCCTTGCAATGAGCAGTAGATCTTTAAGAACTTTTTCCTTGGCTCTTTTATACTTTATTTTCAAAGTCACTGTTACTTGTGTACTCTGCTATAAATCCAAACTGTAGCGTTGCCAGAGCGCTGGCTTTAGAAGCAAATTATAGTTGACCACCAATTCAAGTGTTTACTGCGTGTCCTTGCTCAAGGACATGATTTGTGTTCCCCTCTTCCATTTTTTTGTGCTCCCTTGTGTAATACCTCCCCAACCAAATAGACCTTTCCCAAACATCAGGATGCTGATCCTCACTTCCGATTATGGCAATATTAATTTTCAATTAAAGCATTACTGCTGAGTATTGATTTGAAATCTTCTGGGTACATTAAAGCAAAAGTAAACTGGGTTTCCTCCACAGTTGCTAGGTTCTTGAGCACTGTTTAATCCATGGGAAAATTTGAATTCCATACCACTTCCTTCCCCCACTTCAGGAAAGTGTGTGCAGTGACTATACATGCCCATACTGGAATGATTACAGGTTAACAAGATTCTACGTGGGCAAAGGCACGTAGAATAGGCAAACAGCTTACCATAAGAATTAGTAGTGTAAGAAATAAGTGGGAAATATAAATATCTATTATCTCATTAGGACTTGGGATATTAGAAAATTGTCTAAATGAAGCATTCTTCTAAAAAACAATCAAGACATAATGATAATCACTATTGAGTGGGACTGAGGCCACCCCCCCCCAGAAAATATCCCACTTTTATTAATATGCTAGCACTTTAAATATTTGTGGGTTGGTGCATGGATGGAGATAGAGAAACAAGCTAAGTAACCAGGAAGATTGGAAACAAGGAAGAAGTTTACACTATGATTGACATAAAATCATTGGGATGTTCTTGAGTATATAATGTATTAGATATGTACATAATATATAGAGTATTGTAACATTAAAGGAATAAAGTAATAGGTAATTTGCTTCATATACTAAATATATGTTTAAACAGTTAAATTTAAGCAAAATCACAAATGAATTAGAATTAACAACTTTCAAAGAAATTTTTATGTAAAATCAGTTCACAAGGATAACTAAAATCAGGTAAGTAAATGGCTTACCCAATGTACCCAGCTTGTTTGAATGAATGTGTCTCAGTTCACCTCAGTTGTAGTATTTTATCTTTGCTCGTTCCCATAAAACCTCTCCACAGAAAAGGTAACTATTTGAATAGAATATATGATACTTTCTTTTGTAAGGTGAAAAGTAACCTATCTATAAGGGAAAGGCTACACACTCCAGTATTCTGGCCTGGAGAATTCCATGGACTATCTATAACTGAACTGAATGTAAATTATCTATAGCTAGTACTATCTATATCTAGAAGTATTTATATCCACCTCTGTGTATGTGTATACACATGCTTTGTCTTAAACTAGGTACTTGTACCATTGTTACAATACAATAGAGTATGCATCACTAATTTATTATGCAACTTGCCATTGGTGACTTTACAAATTTGGGGGTCCAAATGCCCTAGTGAAGAATAAATAGGTGTCAGCTCAATAACTTAACTGCTATTCCCTATTACTTCCCCATATAAGTAAACCAGGAAAGAATTACAGACAACTGTATGTTTTTACATTTGACTCCTGACAGATAGCAATTGCAGACCAAGCTCCATATAATTTTGTTTGCTTTCTGGCTGTGACATTTTTCATAAAATTTCGAACCCATGGCAGAATCGAGCCAACCAAGCATGATCTCTTAAAAGCTCTGTTAGGTTAAGGTCAGTGTTCTTCCTCAGAATATTTCTCCAGTATTGCTCCTTCATTTCTTCTCCAACCTCTTTGAGGTCGATCCCTTTCTTACTTAAAACCCTCTGCCCCAGTACTTATCTCACAGCTGCCTGTTCAGTCATTTTCTTAGAAGGAAAACTTGGAACCGGATTTACAGTCTTTTTCTCTGGCTAAGTCCTACTAAGGAGAAGGAAATGGCAACCCATTCCAGTGTTCTTGCCTGGAGAATCCCGGGGACAGAGGAGCCTGGTGGGCTGCCGTCTATGGGGTCGCACAGAGTCAGACACGACTGAAGCGACTTAGCAGCAGCATGTCCTGCTATCATCTTCCATAGTCTCTAAGTCCTCGTGTATGACTCTTCCAGTGCCTGTGTGTTTCACGTCCTTGCTTTCCTCACTTCTAACAAGCTCCACTTTATTTCAGCCTCCACTCCCACAGTGGCACCTGAGCCTTTCAGATGATTTTGAAACTGCTCTACATCTGAAATCACAAATTCAGGCATTTGTGTGGGCATGCATGTGTTCAGAGACCTACTAAATCAGTCTTTAGAGATTGGGCTTTGGAATCTCTCTCTATAGATTTTAACCCTACCCAGGTAACTCTGATTTTAAACAAAGTTTGCAAACCACTCAATGCAATTGTGTGTACCTCAACACAAAAGTTTCACATTCTCTTTTCTCCATTCCCACTATGTCTGGAGAATAGAGGGTGCTTAATCAACAAGCAGAATTACAGTTTTTTATTTCATCAAGTCTCACAGGGATGTTGAAGTGTTCTACTGTAGCCATGTCCTCTTGATAATTTTACTGTAGTCTTGTTCTTTTACCTCTAAGACACTTTTGCTTAAGCTTGTCCAAAATAGGATAGAGAAGAGCTATCAAGCTCTGTAAAATGGTGATGGGAGAGGTGATAAGCTTGTGTCTCTTATTTAAAAGCATATTGTAGTGGTCATGGTATTTACATCACTAAAAGAGGTTGTTTAGCGTAAGAGCAAAGAGTCAAATAGTTGCTTTTGAATTCCAAAATAGGTTTTTGATATTCATAAAAGCATATCTTGAAAGTCAGAGCAAAAACATATTTTTCTTTTCTGTGTTTTCATTTGTTTCTCTTCATAAAATAGAATGAAGATACAGAAGGTTACACAGAAAAAATGTATGGCTTGGTGAATTATGATAAGGGGAACACCCTTGTAACCATCAGACTACAGGAACCAAGAATAGAACTTTGCCAGCCACCCCAGGAACATTTCCCTTTGTCCCATTCCAATCACATCCCCTTCCTCAATTCAGAAGTAGCCTCTATTTTGACATTTGTAGAAATCACCTTCTTAACATTTGTATGGTTGTATTACACAAGTGTGTATCCTTAGACATTGTGTTTTAATCTTAAACTTTCTTTTTATTTTAACATTTTATTTACAATGTTTTGTCCATTTTGAAATCATTTCAGACTTACAAAATTGTTACAGAAATAAAACAATTACTAAATACCAATTACCAAGATTCCACAAATGTTAACATCTTATATAACTACCATGCTGCTGCTGCTGCTAAGTCACTTCAGTCATGTCCGACTCTGTGCGACCCCATAGACGGCAGCCCACCAGGCTCCCCGGCCCCTGGGATTCTCCAGGCAAGAACACTGGAATGGGTTGCTATTTCCTTCTCCAATGCATGAAAGTGAAAAGTGAAAGTGAAGTCGCTCAGTCGTGTCCTACTCTTAGCGACCCCATGGACCGCAGCCCACCAGGCTCCTCTGTCCATAGGATTTTCCAGGCAAGAGTACTGGAGTGGAGTGCCATTGCCTTCTCCATATAACCACCATACTATTATCAAAATCAGGAAATTACCACTTATATCATACTGCTGCTGCCGCCGTTGCTGCTGCCGCTGCTGCTAAATCACTTCAGTTGTGTCCGACTCTGTGCGACCCCATAGATGGCAACCCACCAGGATCCCCCGTCCCTGGGATTCTCCACGCAAGAACACTGGAGTGGGTTGCCATTTCCTTCTCCAATGCGTGAAAGTGAAAAATGGAAGTGAAGTCTCTCAGTCGTGTCCGACTCTTAGTGACCCCATGGACCGCAGCCCACCAGGCTCCTCCGTCCATGGGAGTTTCCAGGCAAGAGTACTGGAGTGGGGTGCCATTGCTTTCTCCTATATCATACTACTATCATATATATCACATATACACACATATACATGATATATCTGTCCATATCATTAGTTCACATAGATCTTCTTTATTCCTTGTTACACCTGTGTGGTGTTCCATTAGGGAGTAATACCATGTTGTATGCACATCCTATGTACTTTTTGAAATTTTTTATTGGCATAGAGTTGATTTACAACATTGTGCTAGTTTCTGGTGTACAGCAGTGAATCATATATCCATTCTTTTTTAGATTCTTTTCCCATATAGATTATTACAGAGTGTTAAATAGGGTTCTCTGCTATACAGTAGATCCTTATTAGTTATCTCTTATACATATATAGTAGTATATATGTGTCAACCCAATCTCCTAATTTATCCCTCCTTACCCTTCCCCCCCAGTAACCTTAAGTGTGTTTTCTACATTTGTGGCTCTGTTTCTGTCAGGTTACCTTACTAAGTGAAATAAGTCAGACAGAGAAAGACAAGTATCATGTGATATCACTTATATGTACAATCCTATGGACAGAGGAGCCTGGCAGGCTACAG